TCTCGCATAAACTATTGGACAAGTTACAAACCGATGTGCGTTCGTGTTGCCTTGTGGCTATACCCACGAGTGGTTGATATTTTAACAGACATGTTATTACGCAGGAGAATTTACATGCTGCTTATGCTTGTTAAAGAACCACGATAGCCGATTATAACCGTAGTTGACTAGTTAGTTCTACCTACTGAACTAGTTATTTGAGTTTAAATACTAATCAACATCGACATGAAGCAACGAAATTTCACAGTAACAGACTAACATAGGCGATGATAAAAATGGAAAAGAATAAGTATAGATTGCAATAATAAAGACTATAATGATAGGTTGCGTTGTTCGCAGTCTTGCTCACCAGTGTAGATCACCAGCGTAGATGATCTATGTCGAAATGATTGGAGGCTTACTCGAGTTAGACGTGAGTGGTGTGACAAACTAGCTAACGTCGAAGTCACACTTCGCGGTCTGCACCTTACATAGATTACCCGATTGACGTATCAAGGTACTATAGATGATTTGAAGGCTGTAAAACACAAAGGACGTTATTACAGAAATATATTAGTTAAAGTAGATACAAGCGAAGGTAAGACCACTGCCGCATGGGCCAGTCCATGGCGTACGATTAACTGATGCGCGTTGGTTGTCCTTGACCTCGACGAGGATTGATGATTTGTTTGATATTCAATGACCAAACTGCCGGATGATTTGGCTGAGGTTCAGTGGAATTTCGCTGGCCCTACACACTCATGTTTAACGAATCGCTGTTAGCTATATGTCCAAAATCCACACAATTATTACTTTTCACGTATTTAAAAATTTTTGATAACAATTCATATGTATTATTTGTACTACTAAATTCTATCACGGTCAAGTACAAACGAGGTCGAGAAAATCCCCCCATATCTAAATAAACCGTATCAAACTAACTGAAGCAGTAGTTGGAATTCTTTTCCGCGTTTATACTTTTCTTTCAGTTAGCCTACTAATACAGATACAGTTGGAAATCAACGCATGGCCAACTTACCGGCACATACGTTATTCGATTTCATAATTTAGACCAAATATAACATCAGTTTTAACATTTCTACAATATTGATTGTTTTTAATATTTCTAAACAGGAAATGTTATTAACCTACAGCTATTACTAACTATCTTACGGCGACTTATTAAAATATCCCTATACGGAGTCATTTCATTATAATTATAATCCCGATTTGTTTAGCTCAAATAATCTCCGCCCAAATTTTCATTTTAAGCGTGTTAAGCATTAAACCAGACACTATAAAATTATTACGTGTGTTTCCCGACCAGATGCTGCTGCCTCCTTTTTGATTTATCTTTCAGTCCATCAATACCCGGATGATTCTTATTATTCTTGCTAACCTCCGGCGCGCGACAATCCCGCACAACTTGGTATCGAACCAACGTCACGTTGATTCTGGTGGGAGAGTAGTGTAGCGGCATTGGGCCCTACCACGAGACAATATGAGAAATAGACATTAAACATTTAACGCGGAGAAATACAAAAGACTGGAGAAGGCGGGAATAATAAATTGAATTAATACGAGTTAATCTGATGGCATGGCTCGGCCTTGCAGGCGTGGTCCCATCTGAATGTTATCTTGTGTCTTCTATTCATATTAAATATATTGTATCTCTAGCCTAAGCTCGTTCTCTATCACGTATTGGTAATTGTTACAATGCGATGAATCGGTGTAGACGATGATGTAACTTCCACGTAAGATCTTATAGATTAGGCAGTTACATCATGATAAATCTACAATTTTAGGATTAGGTCTATTATTAGAGCAGTGCTAATATTATAATAGACCGTAATTCTAAAGTATTTCGTTAGGCAATCTTTCAAGCGCAAGAACACAGTGATTCAATGAGTGCTGCAACCAGCCAAGAATAACGAGGGCTCTAGATCCCGGATAACGAACGTGACATTCCCAACCTTTTAAATGTCGGCTGTGCCAACAATTTCGGTTACCAACTGGACTCCACATTCATTCGGACACACCATACGATGCATGGACGAAGCATGAAAGCATGTTGGAACTGACTATCTCAGTTGTAGACTGTCCAAAGCAAGGAAAGTACGAAGAATAGACAGAGGCTACCAACTCGGAAGACCTTGTGTGGGTAGGTTGTCAATTCATCCACACAAGTCTCATTCAGACAAACAAGACGGAGAAGCGCACGCATTTCAAACAAAAAACAATCACTGCCCATGTCAACTGTACCTTAAGAATTTATCAGTCACGATGAATTTGTGTAACGCTCAGCAAGATTGTCTTATACCTGAAGAAGTCTGGTTGGACAAACGTATGCTGAAGGGACTTTCTCGTTCGAACCGTTTATAATACTCTCTTATCCCATTCGTAAAGGACTCCAATCATCTTAAAGTCAACTTCTGTGACCACATGTACATTTGCAATGACGACTTTTCCGAAGCTCGGTTTTCTAACCTCACTGAAGATCCGTCACACTTAGACTGCATATTTAAAAACCTCCCAATCATAGTTCCACTGGGAAAAAGTGGTCACAGCCAAATAACCTTCATCTTTTTCAAAAAAAATGAGGCTAAAATATGCTACCAACAACATGCGTTAGAATGACAAACAGTTGGACTCGACAGTTTTATATCTCAGCCTACAACACATGGAATGGGTAGCCCACCTTAACTCGAAGTGGATACTCGCTGCTACCGAACAATAGCACTTTCCTCAAAACCCACAAATATAATGGGGTCTCCGATACGCGATGGTCTGAGTGACTACTCAATATCCTCAAACTTCTTCTCACTCCAACAGCACGGTTCTAGGAAGGGTCATTCCAGTACTGTCAACCCACTGGCTGTGGTGAACAGATGGACAGTCATACATGGCCGTAAACAAGGAAGGTTTACGTCCTACACATTGACTTCTCAGAAGTTTTGATAGGGTAAATCACAAATGTCTTGTCAATAAGCTCATACGAATTTGTACCCAGCCACCACGATTGATTGGCTTACCTCGAATTGGAGTAGTCAACATTTTAGGATCAGTATAGACTTTTTCTCAAACTACACCATGTCTTCATGTTTTGGTGCCGCGTCCTAGCTAGATCACCCCTAGCTTTCTTCTAACCTACTCCTACACCAGATAGCATCGTCCATCGAGCTAGGTGGTGGTTGAATATACGTAACGCATGTCTCGACCACCTCAGCTGATAAATGTTTACTGCTTTATCAACCGATTTCCCATCTTTACCTAGTATCACATCTCTAATCTAGGCATTGCTCATCCGGTGGTTCCAGAAACAAACGAGCAATGCTTTGAAAACACCTATGGTCGAATTTTCTCTATTCTTATTGGTCATGTCTTTCTAGGGTGACTTTTTTGCGTCCAGTGAGGCGCAAGCAGATGCGCGCTCTTATTAGGGAATGGTCGAATTTCCTCTATTCTTATTGGCCATGTCTTACACCCATAAAGTAGATCATAGCGAACTGTTGAGCAGTAAACTCGTCCTTTAGTTGACACATGGATATCTCACATATACTACAAGTGACGTAATTTGAGGAGAGCCAAAATCTGTGCCGAGACTTCGTCAGACATCGAACCATCAGTGCTGATGAGAATACCCAAGATAAATGGAGCGGTCGATGCGTTCAACTACTCCACTCCCTATCATTAATTCAGGTGCCGACGTAGGCCAAAAGTGCCTACGAGTGTGAAATTATGTGACTAATAAATTGAGAAAAAAACCTTATAGTGGTAAATCGTATAATGACAATCAATAGGTCAAATAGAAGCTTAAATTAAAAGGAATATGAATATACACATAACATAGTTGCTTAATAGTTATACAGCAAGAATATATATATGGAAGAAATACATAAATAGACCCTAGTAGTTACCATTCACATAATCTTCGTCCGGACATAACATATTGTTTGATTTTTTTTTGTTGGCGCACTTCTGAGAAGTCCCAAAATAGGACGAAACAGCCGTCCAGTGCTTCCAAGTGTTCCATGGTGGTCTAGTCTCAACTGACTCATGATCTTAACCATTGAAGTTTCCTGACGATGTTAAACTTTGGACAGTTTACGGCTAAAATGATAAGCTAGAACTTTAGGAGGATCCAACTCGACTTCAAAGTTCGGAAAATTACAATGCCTCTTCCTCAAACCACGGAAAGTATAAACCAGTTTACTTGAGACGTTTAGCAAACTACTCGGTTCCAACATATACCTTCGAGGCAAAATCGAGAAGGTAGAGGTAAAACTCAGCGGGGTGGACTGTAGGCATGCCTAATCTTTGCGAAAAATCAAATACTTGAATTCTCTGACAGTTGCGGTGGTCCGAGCGGTTTTACAAAATAATTTAGAGAGGAAACAGAATATTCTTAGGTTTTAATATAAATGTTAAAATTAGGTTTAGTTAACAATGAAAATTCAACTGGAAATGGTTTTTAAACCTGTTATATTCAACTCAAATAAATAAAAACATTTTACTCGAAATATCTAAACATTGGATATCAAAATAATTTCAATAGTTGAGATCATGAGTCAGTTGAAGCTAGACCACTATGGGAAACCTGGAAGCACTGGACGGCCGTTTAGTCCTATTGTGGGACTCCTCAACAGTGCTCATCCATGACCTCGCCCCCTACGAGATTCGAACCCAGGGCCTAATAGGTTTCGCACGCGAGCACTTAACCACTAGACCACTGAGCCGGCATCCAACGGTGTTTATGTCTAACTTCAACTAATCCACGAGATTGAGCGACAAATCAGTATTTTATCCTGATTCATGAGCAAATAAAAGTTATACATAACCAAAATCTCGTTCTTATGGTTCGAAAGTAGACCTTAAGAGAATAGCAAATAGCGATTTCTATCTTAAAAGTTTGAAAGCTTGATGAAAGTTGGACATTGTGTTTGTTGTGTTGCTCATAAACTCTGTACGTTTACGAAGCGCGGTATTGTGACTTTGACTTCGCTGGTGCTGGGCTATATGTGATGGCTACGAACGACTCGGCCAAGCCAAAGGATCCTCCTGAGGTTATAGTAGATGTTACAAAAAAACGGGAGTTTCTCCGTGGACGGTTTTTGGGGAAGGTATTCATTGATTTTTAAGCATTGTGTTTTCAGGGAGGATTCGCAAAATGCTATGAACTTATTGATCGAAAAACGGGGGAAAAGTACGCCGGTAAAGTTATTAACAAGTCAGCCTTGGTCAAAGACTCCCAAAAAGAGAAAATGCGCCAGGAGATCAGTATTCATCGTTCTCTAAAACATGAAAATGTTGTTAGATTCTATGGAAACTTCGAGGATAGTGAATTCATATACATTTTACTTGAACTTTGTAACCGGAGGGTAAGACTATCTCGTAGCTTAAGTCATTGAAATAGTCGCTTTTAGAACTACACAAGCGAAGGAAGTATGTCACTGAACCAGAGGCCAGGTATTTCATGAAACAAATTGTCCATGGCTGTCAATACCTTCATCAAAATAAGGTCATGCATAGAGATCTTAAGCTGGCCAACCTTTTCCTTGACGACAACCTAAAAATAAAAATAGGGGATTTCGGGCTTGCCTCAAGGATCAGTCATGAGGGTGAGAAGAAAAAAACGTTGTGTGGTACTCCCAACTATATTGCTCCCGAAATTTTGAGTAAAGGCGGACACAGCTTCGAAGTAGACTCATGGTCTCTTGGTTGTATACTGTATGTAGTTTGTGCTTTTATTCTAATTCCTTAGTTATACTCTTCTAGTAGGGAGTCCTCCTTTTGAAACTACTAAACTGGAAGAAACGTATGCACGCATTAAGCAAAATGAGTACCGCATTCCGATTCGTGTGTCAACGAATGCCTCAATGCTCATCCGCTCACTCTTACATGCCGATCCGGAAAGAAGACCAAATATGTTCAATGTACTCGACCATGATTTCTTTAAAGACTTTACACCCAGTGGTCTTCCTGTGAGTTGTCTTTCAACATGCCCCAGATTTGATACTATGCATCGACCACAAACCGGACGTCGCCCATTGTCTGACATCAATCCCGTTGAGGATGTTCCTATCACCAGTGGCGGTGGTGCTCTTGGTAATGTTGGCGGTGCTGCAGTTGATAAAGCTGTTCAGCCGGATGACTGCTGGCTTGGGTTACTTAAGCACAAAGTGAGTCATACATTTTCAAAAATCTAGTGCTTTTCAGTTAGGTCGTGTATTAGAGGAACCCAAGGAATTTGACGACTCATCACCAAAAGCAATGGAAGAAAGTGAAGTTCCAGCAGCCTGTCCAATATACTGGGTCAGCAAATGGGTTGATTATTCAGATAAATATGGTTTGGGATATCAGTTGTGTGATAACTCATATGGTGTCGTATTCAATGACGTGACAAGACTCCTTTTAACAACCAATGAACAGAATCTTCAATACATCGACGAACATGGGACTGAACGTTTGTTTACTCTGTCAAAGCATCCGGAATATTTGTCGAAAAAAGTGACACTCCTCACATGCTTTAAAGCATATATGCACCAGAATCTTCTTAAGGTAAGCTTTTGGTGTGCTCGTTTCGTCACTTGTACCCATTTATATAGGACTGTACCTTAATTGAGTACAAATATTCCATAGGATATTAGTGTCGTATTTTTGAGCTAAGTGATTGCTGATTTTTAGTATGACATGCCGGTGAAGTAAAATTATTTTTGTACAAAAAGTATGTATTTCTCATCTTGATTCATTACACTGTTTCATATTGTTTTCCCTAGAAAATTACCGTTCGAAGCTACATACACATGTACTCATTAGTTCACGTTTCGCGGTTTCCCTGCTTTCAGCGCTTTATGCCTTCTCAGGTGCCCTGGCACAGCTGAGGGTGTAGAGGGTCCACTGGAAGTTCTCATACTGCCACGCGTATATAGCCATTCTCATAAAGTCCTCACTGTCTTCTCGTGGCGAGGGTGTTTACAAAATTGAGGGGACGAAAAGCGCGTGTTCGACGCTTAAACTCGGTTAGTGGGTACGGAGGACCCATTTAGGGGAGTGGTTATTTTTTCCTTTGGAAGTTTTTGAAACATTACCTCCATCGAATAGTAGTTTATCTGTATACTTATCAGCTTTTAGTATTACTGGACTGAGTAGTGAGTGACATGAATCCACTAGTAGAGATTTTCTATCATGTCTGTAATTATATCTACCGGTTGATGTTTAGTTTACGAGTTTCTTTGTTCACACTAGTTACTTGACGAGTTTTCGGATTGCTAATCGAATTATTCAGGTTATTTGTTCACAGTATGTTCACTCTGACCTATATCTTCTGGACAGTATCTTGGTTGTATATCTATTGTCGTTTTTCCAGGGCACAGACTCACCTTTCTATAATTAGGCTAATTAATTTAGTTTGACGCTTTCTATTTGCATATTCTAATAAAGATCAAATTTATTCATCAATAATGTTAGGCTTTTAAAGTATCTAAAAATCTACGTTGACAAAATCAATCAAATCGTTTAGACATAATCAGTCACTAGGGTCAAGAAATCGTTGGGAAATTAAGGAGACCAAACGAATAATAATAATAATGGTATCAAGAGCAGTGGGAAAGGCAATAAAAACAACTAAAAGCGGGAAGTAGGGGGGTTACAATTTGTGTTCTTTACTTATCAAACGACTAAGAATTAAGGTTTCTGCACCGTGGCTATCTATTTCGGTCTGCCTAGTCAGCCAGTCAGTCAGTCAGTCAGTTGCAACGTAGGACCAGGCACGTATATGCATCGGTCCAAGTTGCCATACCGCATTAGCACAACAAGATGAACACCGGATTCATAGAAGTAGTTAATTCAGTGGTGGTAATATATAGAAGGCCCCCAAATGCCCTGGTACGGCCGAGAGTGGGGGGAGTCCACTCCCCCTCTCGAAATGCTCTCATATGGCCACGCGTATACAGCCCCTGCCAGGGAAGTCCTACTCACTGCCTTCTCGTGGCGGGGGTGTTGTTTACAAAAATGAGAGGACGAAAAGCGAATGTCCGGCGCTATAACCGGATCCCAAACCAATGGTGCACATGGGCTCCAGTATCCTGCGGGAACAAATGGCGTATGAACCAATCGTTGGTCACCGGCTACCATGGGACTGCATCTCCTCACGATGCTCCACTGCCTTGTGGATCAGATCTTCAGGTCGAAGGCTCGGGGTGTGGTCCCCTAAGAAAACCACCTGCTTCGGTTTGGGCACCCGGGCAGTATCACAGCCCTCACACATATCAAATGAGATCTGTGTGGCGCATATGTATTTGGTGCCTTCTTGTACCGATATTTATGTGTTAAAATAAAATAAAAAATAAAATAAAATAAATATATAGAAGAAAGATTGTGTATAAGGAGATAGTACGGGAAAAAAGAATTAGTTACTAGAAAGAAAGATATGAAGCGATTTTGATATTTTGGTTTAAGGGAAGACAGAGAGTGTACACACCGACGCCATTGTGATCGATTCTGAGCCATGTCACCAAGAGTTTTCAACCATTAGTTACGATAGTCACGCGGACCCCAACATGGCAGTCTGCATCTACCAACATGGCTCAGACCAAAAGTTAGTGACTTCAAGCACTGATGCCACGTTTTGGTTTGGCCGCCCCTAACTTTCTTCCAATTATCCCTAACACCGGTTAGCATTGTGCGTCGTGGTAATCGGTGTTCAGGCATACGCAGCACGTGGCTCAACCATCTCAGTCGATGAAGGTTCATAACCTCATCAACTGATTTACCATCATTCCCTAATACCCTGTGTCTAACCTCACTATTACTTACCCGGTGATCCCAGCAGATACCCGCAATATTTCTAAGACACCTGTGGTCAAATACTAGTAACTTACGAGTATCTTCTACTCTTAATGGACACGTTTCGCAGCCGTATAATAGAACGGAACGAACTGCCGCGCAGTATACTCGTCCCTTAATTGATAGACGGATATCTCGCCTTCGCCATAGATGACGTAAGTTGGCAAAAGCCAAACGAGTTTTTCGAATCCGTGCTGAGATTTCGTCAGACACCAACCCATCAGGGCTGATCAGACTTCCGAGATAAGTAAAGTTGTTGACGCGTTCGATTACTTCACTCTCTATCCTTAGTTCAGGTGTTGACGCAGACCAGTCCTGAAGCAACAACTTGCATTTGGAGGGAGAGAAGCGCATCCCAAACATTCTGGCATTGTTGCTCAGTGCTACCAAAAGACTCTGCATTTCATCAGCGTCTTCACCAAACAGGACTATGTTATCTGCGTATTCTAAGTCGATAAGTGGACCTCCTGGTAGGAGATCAATGCCGGAGAATTCAGTCGATGAGAGCGTTATTTCCATCAGTAGATCTATGATGAAGTTAAACAAAAATGGAGAAAGTGGACAGCCTTGGTGGACGCCACTTGAGATTGCGAAAGCAGATGACAGTTCGCCATAAGCTCTCACTCGACTAGTAGTGTTCGAGTAAAGAGCTTTCACAAGGTTTATGTACTTCTGAGGTACGCCTTTCAATGACAGACACTGCCACAGAACCTCTCGGTCAACCGAGTCAAACGCTGCTTTTAAGTCAAGGAAGACTACCATTGTCGGACGCCGATAAGTATGCCTGTGTTCTAGAACCTGACGAATGGTGGATATGTGGTCGATGCAGCCACGACCAGGTCTGAAGCCAGCCTGATTTTCACGTGTTTGCAGTTCACGAGTCTGAGTTAGGCGTCCGATAATTATTGATGCCAGTATTTTAGATGCTACGCTAGTGAAACTGATCTCTCTATGGTTATCACAGGATGATTGTGACCCCTTCTTATATATTGGGACAATCAGTAATTTTGACTCTTTCTTAAATATTGGGACGATAAGTGATTGTGACCAGTTAGATGGGATGACGTCTAATTCCCAGATTTTAGCTAAAATATTAGTCAACCTAATCGCTAAAACTAGACCACCATCTTTAAAGACCTCTGGGGCCAATCCATCTGAACCAGATCCCCTTCCTCGTTTCAGATTAACTATAGCCTTTTAAACTTCAGCTAGAGTTGGGGGACCTACTTCAATGTTCCATTCATACTGTCTGGGAATAGAGGGTAGTTGTAGAGTAGCTGAAGGCCAACCAAACTGCTCCTTAAAATGTTCCGCCCATCGTTCTAATCGTCTGGACTGGGAGCAGATGGGAGTGTTGTCTTTTTCCGAAATAGTCTGACTTACACTTGATTTATTAATTCCAGTTTCTTTTATTAGTCTGTGGAGTTGTCTTTTGTTCCCCATAGCCGCCGCCTTTTCCATCTCTTTTGCTTTCGTTGCCCACCACTGCTCACGATCATTCCTTAGACTTTTGCTTAACCTAGATCTGATTTTTTTACGCTCTTCATCGTGTTCAGAACCTGATGGGATGAGTTTACGAGAATCTATCAGTGCAATAGACCTTGAGGAAATCCATTGGTTCTTTGTAACCCTGTGGTTTAAATCACTAGTAGATGTCACTGCTGTTTCCACAGCTGCTTGTATGTCTTTCCAATCAACATCGGGGTCAGCCTCGTTTTCAGAACTACCTAAGTGTGACCTCAGTTGTTCCTGGAACCTACTTTTGGCTTTCTCATTACTCAATTCGGTTCTAATGAGTCTTTTTTGTGTGGCCTTTTTGCGTCCAGTGAGGCGCAAGCAGATGCGTGCTCGTACTAGGGCATGGTCGGAGTCCAAGCAGGTACTCCAGAATGAGCGACAATCTTCTATCGACCCTCTCCAACGATGACTGATGGCAATATGGTCTATTTGAGTCCATCGTTGGTTTGGTGCAGGGGGTCGCCATGTTAGACGCTGTCTCTCCTTATGCTTAAAATTTGTGTTTGCTAAAAATAAACGATTGTCTGAGCACAGTTGCAGCAGACGATCACCATTATCTGTTCTCTGTGCCGGAATACTAAAATACCCACCTAAATGTCTTTCTGTTTCGTTTAAGCTACCTACCTGGGCATTAAAGTCGCCTCCTACGAGTACTATGTCTGAACGTTTAGCTTTCTGAAGTTCAGAGAGTTTTCTGTAAAATTCATCTTTCACTTCATCCGAACTGCAGTCAGTGGGAGCGTAGGCAGAAACGACGTGTGTCCCTATCCTTTCGAGTTCTTACGGAGCCGTTTAGCCGAACAGCGCATAGACGACTATTAACGGGGATCCACTTTAATAGCGCTTGTTCCGCCCTCATGCTTAGTGCTATGCCTACACCTGCAAGTCCACGAGAACTAGCCATCGGGTCGCCAGATACACGGAGGGTGTATCTCGTTGGCACTCCGTTTTGCCGAGGTGAGGTCAAGTGAATGACCACACTAGGATCCTGTATGCGTGTTTCGGAGACACAGCATACATCAATCGTACGAGATTCTAAGATTTTAGCCAAGGAAGCCTGCTGACCGATTTGGCATAGTGTGCGTACGTTGAAGGCTCCAACGTATAGTTTGGAGCGAGGTTTCAGTAGACCTGGGACAGTGTTTTGCGCACTAGGATCGTTGGCTGTGGTGACACTTGAGGAGGAAGCTAAAAGA